TCTCTCTCTCTCTCTCTCTCTCTCTCTCTCTCTCTCTCTCTCTCTCTCTCTCCCTCTCTTTTTTGAGATAGGCTCTTTTTGCATAGCCCTGGCTTTCCTGAAACCCATTATGTAGACCAGGCTGCCCTTGAACTTATAGAGATCTGACTGCTCTGTTTCCCCAGTACTGAGATTAAAGGTGTGTGCCACCATTCCTGGTCTTATTTAGTTTTTAAATAACAGGTTAATATACTTTAAATGTCATTTTCTTTTAATTCTTTTTTCTTTTTTTTTAGCACTGTTAAGTTTTTTGATACATATAATTATACATGTACACACATAATTAGGAATTTTCCTATATATGTGAGCTGATACTAAATATGCTGCATTTAATTGTATAATATGGAATGAACACATTTCCATGCACAAGTGTGACACTTTCCCACTGAAAAATAAACGTGGAAAATGGGTCAAAATCCAAAATCCAATGAGATGCTGGTAACAACAAAACTATCTAAAAGAAAATACCAGATAAGTAATTAAAAGTAAAATGAAGTTCAAAGATACATCAGAAAATGCTAAGAGAAAGAAAGCAGCAGCCAGATTTCAATCTCAGAAAGAAAAGCTTTCAAGGCCTGAAGCACACAGGGTAAGGACGGCTTCGGGAATGTCTTTGCTTCCAGTGCATCATCACAAACTTGTTTCTTACTCTTCTTATCTCTTCCCTAAGCCTTTTCAACTCATCTACTCCTCTTATCACTTCTTCTGGGTTCAGATGCCTTGTGGGAGTGTCCTCTTTAGGCTCCAGGCTGGGTTGAGCAGGCTCTCCTCTAAGGCTCCCATCTGCTTCCTCGCCCCCACTTTCTCCAGAAGCCTCAGGATTTTCTCCTGCCTGCTGTGGCGTATCTTCTGAAGAATGGCCTTCATCTGCCTTTGGTGTGTTCTGGGTTGTTCCTTCGTTCTCGTCACAAGACTTTTGCATGTTGAGTGTTTCTTTTTTTAATAAATTAATTCTGTAGATATCTGAAGATTTTCCTCTCTTCTTGCACCTCGATTTATGTCGCGCCTAAAAGATAAAGAGTCCTGAGAGGAGCCGGGCTACTCTTCTCTAGCAGGACTGAGCTGCTACTCGAATTCTTTTTTCTTGAATGCTTTGTTAAAACTGCAGTATAAAGTGAGGCCTATTTTCATTATTCCTGCTATGGGAGAAATGTAGTAAGACTAGGCTTTAAATACACATTCAGTTTAATTCAGATAAGTAATTCATAATGCTTTTCTCAAGAAAATATAGATATA